AGAGAGAGAGAGAGAGAGAGCTGACGAGGGAGGGAGGAGAGGTCCTCCGCTCCCAGGTACCTCAGGCGGCAATGGCCGCCGTGCTGGCTCAGTCGCCCTGCTGCTGCTCCGCTTGCCGCTGCGCTAATGCTGCGCTGCCGCTGCTGCTCCGCTTGCCGCTGCGCTAATGCTGCGCTGCCGCTGCTGCTCCTTGCTCGCTCCTGCGCTAAACTTAGCGCATCAAACAGCACTCTGGCGCTGACCATAACGCACCGGTAGAGTGCCGGTGGTTCGATGCCTCCAAGTGAGGCTGTACCGGTACTTGTACCGGTGGGGCAGAGACCGGCCTCTATGCTGCGAGGCCTGGCCATGCCCTGAACCGTCCAGATGAACAGTTCAGCCCCAACCGGCGGGCGGCAGCCTCAAGAGCGCCGCCAGGCCCAATCGATAATGCCGTTTGGGCCTGCCCGTCGGGTACTGGTCCAAGATCAGACCTTTAGGGCCTGTAATACCCCAAGGTCGGGCCTTTAGGCCCTGATGTGTCCTTCCGGCCCTAAGTCGGGTCCGGTAGGACCCGTGTGCGTCGAAGATGTAACACCAACCCCCCAAAACAACCCTTGTCACCCCTCCAACGCTCACCCTACCCCAGCAAACCACTTTTTTTTTTTCCGCTGCAACCCCCCCCCACATGCGGGCCTCCCGCCAGGTGCGCACGCTCATGTTTTGGTGTGCGCGTGCACCCAAAACACAATAAACTTCAAGCACACGCTAAGGGTTTGGGCGCACACTTGAGCGCGGTCAAACGGTTGCATAGATCAGGAAGACTTGCCATTTCTGGAATAACACGAGGTTTCTGTGACTTAAAAAATGTGGGGTCATCCGCATTGCCAAGCTTACCATACAGGGCCTCACCACACCACTGCCGACACGAAAAAAACAAACGAATGCATCTTCCCGCAGAGAAGGGAAGATCCATCTGTGACTACGAATAGCAATGGAGGCATCTTACCACTTTCTCCCGCAGTTTTCTCTTTTCATTTCGGCAGTGGTGTTGCGGGCCCGTATAATGAACGGTGTGCATGGCATCAGGAGCTCCAAAAGCTAAACAAAGCAAAGAAAAGAAAGCACGAGGAGCTCCACCGACCATCGCTTTGTGGTACCCCCACACCCTCATCACCCCAATGAAACCCTGTGTGAGCCTGACAATGTTCATTATATTAATTCTATCAAAAAAAAAAAAAAAAAAAAAAAAAGAGGGTCAGACTTACTCTATGGTCGGTGTAGATCCTCGTGCTTCCCCTTTTTGAACTCCTCGGGCTATGCACACCGTGCTCGCAGATGCCGTTTGTTTTCATTGCCAGGCAACATAGACCAGGAGTCTTTGTCTTGTGGTATATCTTCAAGGCGAGGAGGAGCAACAGAAACACCTTCAACGAGTATGAAATAATCGGATACTGATTTTGTGTCTATTGTTGGTAAAGGCCCCAGTGCTTGTATTGTACATGGGACGCTGGACGCCGCTTCCAGCAGGCGTAGCTCTCCACCAATACATAGGAGCCATATGTGGACAATGTGGAGTAAAGAACACAAAAAAAAGGAAAAGACAGAAAGAAAAGAAGAAAGTTTCTTGTTGGGTGCCCACTGCTTATTATTATGCGTGTGGGATTTGCAATTCTGCCCCTACTGATCTGGCTGAGATCAGATCCTAAGGACCACAGAAAAGGAGGATGGTGGAGAGTGCACAGCCTCTCATCCACGTCACATTGGTGTCGCTCACAGGCAGGTGCTCGCACACTGCATGCCACATGCAGACATGCACATGCACGCACACACATGCAGACATGATGTACGCACACACACAGCAGGGGGGAGCAAGGAATTTGTCCGAAAAAACGTCTCATGGACTTCGTCTGAAAAACAAAGTCTATGAAACAAAGCAGAGGTTATGGGTGGGTGGTGCATGGAATTTGTATGAAAAAAGTTAAATCACAAAGCGAAAACTACAAACGTAAGCAGCTAACACCAGGTGTCCGCACAACGGCCTGCCACACAAAAAATGCGCCTACTCAACGGCCTAAATTAAAAAATTAATGCCTGCACTGACCAAGTGGCTAAATTGAAAATCAGCCTCGCATATCGTGCTGGTCAGTGTATGCCCATCATGCGGGGACGGGCCATACATTTTTCCCGTACGACCGTCCGTATGGCCCCCCTGCCCTCAGTATGGGCCATACATACAGCCTCTACAGCCCCCCCCATCGAAGAAAAAATAGGGTGCATGGGACAAAAAGAAAAACGAAAAACAAGATTGATTGATTGATCGACTGATTGGTTGATATTGATTGATTGATTGATTGATTGATTGATTGGATGATAAATAATTGACTGATTGATTGATTGATAAATAATTGATTGATTGATTGATTGATTGATTGATTGATTGTTTAAAAAAAAAAAGAGGCGTGCGAAGAAAGATTTATTTATTTATTGATTGGTTGGCTGATTGATTTCTTGATTGATTCGTTGACTGATTGATTGATCGATTGATTGATTTTGTAGTATACAAAAACGGAAAAAAACGCAAACACAGGTACACACACAAACACACACGCACAGACATGCACGTGCACTAACAAGCGCCGCACTCACACAAGCAGGTGCACACATGTGCACACATTCACACAAGTGGGCGCACACATGCACACACACAACACACACGCACACGACACGGACTCAAACACCCGGCCAACCTTGCATCTTCTATTACATCGCCAGTCTCTGATTTTTTTTGTTTACGGATGGCTTTTGAGAAATTGTGACAATCCGAGGATGGGATGAGAAAATTAAAAATTTGCTCTTTTTTTATAAAAAAAAACACACACACAGCGGACTGAAACATGTGCCAAGCAGTGGCCAACACCAACTCCATCGACACGCCAAACGGCTCGCAGAAACACTTCACCGCAGAGAAAAACCAGCGTTTTGAAACACTTCACCGCAGAGAAAAACCAGCATACACTGGCACATAATATTACCATATTCTCTCATAAGATGGAAAACAGGAAAAAGAGGAAACCCTCTCACAACTTCTCTTCCTTATTGTCACTTCAATAATGCGTACTCCAACTCCATCTTGAAGACCTATGCCAACTAACCACCTCCTCTCAACCTCCTCCCGACCACTACCACCGCACACAAGGACCGCACGGCGTGCACACACATAAAAAAAAAAAAAACAGTGTGACCGCCATCACTGTCTCTCTCTCTCTCTTTCCTCCCCCTCCATCTGTCCCAACGAGCCTGATGCCGACGACTCCTTTCAGAGCCTCACTTCCTTCCCACTGAACTTTAATGACCGCCACCATTACCGCCGGTACCGCCGGTACGAGGTCCCAATGCCACCATTACCACCAGTGCGAGGTCCCAATGCCACCATCACCGTCGGTACGAGCTCCCAACGCCACCCACCCCTGAAAGGGGCTTCTGAAACATTCTCCATACGCGACATCAAAAACTCTCGAAACACTCGTCTGGCTGCACACACGCGGACTTATTCTCTCCCATCATCGCAGCCATTCAATTGCAAAAGTCCTCTGGCACATAACATAGTACAAAGAAGACTTAAGAAAACTCACAGGACTACAGACCTAAACCTACAGCAACTGAATGCGCACCAAACTTGCAAATATTCTCTGAAAAGGTGCTTCCTCCTCCCAATCAGAGGAAAGGGAACCACAACACCTTACACCGGACGCCCACCGGCTTCGCCTTCGAGCTATATCCAATCCATCAAGCCTCTTCTACCTGAACACAACGACTTACCAAACCCAAATCGAAAACCCTTATTCTCAAGAACTTAAACAGTGGCAGGGGCCTTGTCAGGCTCCTCCACGCGTGCAACACACGGACTGTCAACAGCGACACCCATCGCATGCAAGCCATTGTCTACATAGATGAGAGTCCCTGTGATTGCCGCTGCCAGTGGCGATGCGAGAAATGCAGCAGTGCTGCCAACTTCCACTGCATTCACACACACACACACACACACACACACACACACACACACACACACACACACACACACACACACACACATGCGCACACACATGCGCACACACGCCCCAGACAAACAAACAAACACCAGAAACAATACACACGCACACACCCACACCCACACACACCAGACAAACAAACAAACAACCAACCAGAAATACTGAGTAAGTCTTTTGCGAGGTCACCAGTATGGCGGAAAAAAACACATCACCAAAAGTAACAGGACAGGTAAGAATTCCTTTCTAGAGTCGCAACTGTTAGCAGCTTCCAGATCACACAGCGAAGTGCTCTTTTCTCTTTTCTCTCTTCCTCTTACAACCACAAACCAACCTAAATGCTGCATAGCACCACCAGTGCTTCCATCTTTCATCATGCACACCAACATGCAGCAACGCAGCCAAATTCCAAACAGTGCGAGAATGAAAACAACGGTGAAGTTTCTGCACACCCTTCTCCCCCACCATCTCCATCAGGGTCGCCATCATGTGAACCTCCCCCAGTGCCCCCAGTGCAGCTTTGCGTTCAAAGAAACAAGAAACAAATGTTGCAAAAAGCACAACAAGGAAAACAGCATTCTTGCAGTCACCTGCTACCCCCAGAACCACATTACACCCTTCCCCAACCTCTCTGTGCTGCGACCGACAACCCCTACTACCCATGATCGAGGGTATTATAATCGCAGAGCCCCTCAATAACTGGGAACCCATCTTTCACAGAGCCTGATATACCCCTCTGACCACAGTCCTCAGCCCCAAACCGCTCAGCACACAAATTCATCACAGCTTCTGCCCCTCTATGCTTACCAGCGTCAAGTTCTCTCTGAAGTGGTGCATTCGCTGTGCTGTAGTTGATCATGTCGTCAATGAAGCCAATAGCTCGGGCAGCCCTGCTCCTCAACGGGCCTGGCAATATAACCCACATTACAAACATTCATTCCGTCCATGCACACAAAAACATGCCAATCATGTCAAGTCGGATTGATATTTATTAACTCTGCTCCCCTCTCTGCTCCCCCTCCAACAAACAGTTCCACCACAAGATACTACTGGGAGAACAACTCGAACCAAATCCACTCCAAATTTCATACAAAAACACGATTCTCTCTCTCTCTCTCTCTCTCTCTCTCTCTGTGTGTGTGTCTCTGTGTGTGTGTGTGTGTGTGTGTGTGTGTGTGTGTGTGTGTGTGTGTGTGAGAGAGAGAGAGAGAGAGAGAGATGCACACACAAACCCACACGCTCAAACATACCTCCCTCCCTCCCTTCCTCCAGTTTTAACTCACCAGCAGAAATCGTATTAACACGTATTCCCCACTTCCTTCCAGCTTCGAATGAGAGAACCTGCAACCACAGCAAGCGGCACAGCGGCATGTGTAAGATTTACGAGTGGTTGGGTGCATCCAAGGACAGTGAACGAAGAAGGAAGCCAAGCATCGCCTCCCACGATGTACCGCATGCTCACGTGGCATGAACCTGCCGAAAAAAAAAAAACATCCACAGGCTAACACAGACACACACACACACACACACACCTCGAGTCCAGCCTCACCCTGCATTGTGCCCCGGCAGCCCTGAGCCAAAATTGGTCGCCCACACCAAGGAGAAGGAGAGACTCGTCAGGGGTCCCAACCGAACCCTTGCTCCATGCTAGCTGTTAAGCCGTCAGTACACGGCCCTACCCACGCAGAAAATTGCAAATTTCCGACTCCGTACATTGTGGGGCTCAGGGCTACGGGAGCACAATGGATGGCAACGTGGCCCAACAAGGAAAAAAATGTGCACCGCTGGCAGTTCAGGAAAAAAGCTCGGTGCGCATTGCAGAGGCTCCAGCCCAGTGTGTACTCGTGATTTAAACTTTTAACTTTAAAGTTTTTCACACATCAATTCCACTTCTACTAAGGCCTCTTCTGTTGGTGATATTTAAGTGCCAGTCTGCACAAGAGTGATAGAAAAAAAATTCGAAACTTGTTTGATTACCTTCCCTACATACATGCAAGCGACGACATCAACCAGCGAGCAACGACATTATTCCTGACAAGGATTTCCTCTCCAACATAGAACACGCCGTCATGAAATTGTTACAACCAGCGAGCGACGACATCAACCACGATCTGATCTCTCTCAAACATGCAAGCAGAGCCTTCACAAACAAATCTCGCTTCGTGGCCCCAACAGCACGAAAGGACATTCGCTCTCTTCCTCTCTTATTTTATATATGCTAGATTTGAAATAAAATTTCAGAAAAATGTACCAAACACCTCATGTTCATTTGCCTGCTGCTGGTGTTATTGCACAGCCAAATCAATCACCACCTCACCTTTGTGTCACTCTCCAATGCGGCCTTTGCTGAGCTCATACCGCCTCCATAGCTGTCACATGCAGGGAGAAATCAGCCAATCTTCATTAAAACCAATTTTCACAACCTTCTTTTCTTTCATTTATTATAATGCAATATATATTTGTATCCATGCCACAAGAAAAAAAAAAGGGACTTTCATTTATGCAATATATTGTCACATAACTATGAACTAAAAGAGCGCACTTCGCGAACATAGGAGATGATTGTTGACAAATTCACTGTCCATGAACATAGGAGATGATTGTTGACAAATTCACTGTCCATAAATCTCCATGTACCAACTTTGTGAAGGAGACGTGAAGACGGAACTTTTTAAAAAAAAGCGGAGGATTACTCCTCACCTACCCCTTCTCTCCCTCTCATTTGGTGTGTACTTGCCACTTGGTGCATTCTGTGGTCTGCGCAACACGCAACTATTTGATTTTCAGTGTGATGATACAATTTATATTCCCGGCATTCGCTCTCGCTCATTTTCCTTGCACATCTCAACTAATCAAAAAGCCGTAAGAGGAGGGAGACATACATTGTTAGAACTGATAAAAAAGCCGAGGATTCCTCCTCACCTACCCCTTCTCTCCCTCTCCCTTCTGTTTGGCCCCTTCCGCCAAGAGCTACTCACCGTTTAGTGAGTCCGAAGTACTACCTAGTTCCTACGCAGGAACGTGTAGGACAACCACTACTTTGTACATAGAGAGTATGAAGTACTACTTACCCTGGAATCGCTCTTTCAGAGGCGATGTACGTTAGAGTGAGGGCTGAACCTCCCCTGTTCATGATTGGACCGAATCTCTGAAGCATGGAAATGAAAGAGTAAGTGGACGCAGAAACAGCTGCAAGGTATCCGGACCTCGATGTCTCCAGCAGACTTTTTTGCACCTGATATCATTAAAAGCAAAAAAAGACAGAGCAACAAATGAAACCATGAATTCCCCCCCTTCACCTGCTCCTTGGTGTCCCAAACCTGCCCCTGGCAGGCCATGTCTAACACCCTGGGAAGAGAGAGGGGGAGGGGGTGGGGGGGG